GCGGGGCGCGGGCGGATGCCCTTGGCCTTCATGTAGGACACCAGCTGGTCGGGGATCTCGGCCAGCACGTCCCGGGCCAGGCGCGCCATGCTCAGCACGTGGTTGCCCGTGCGGTCCACGTAGTCCCTGAAGGGCACGAACTGGCCGGCGGGGGAGGCAGGGTTAGGCAAGGTCTCTGCTGGGCCCAGCCCCCCACACCCCCAGGCGGAGATCCTGCCCCCTCCTCCCAACCTCTGCCCACTTCTCTCTTCCCTCCCCCATGGTGAGCTCTCCAGGGAAGCTGTCATCATGTCACTACTCTCTCCGTCACGCAAACACCTCCTGAGCACCTAGCCCACGCCAGGGTGCTCAACGTGGTTCCTGGGTCCGAGGTCTGGGCACTGGGCACTTAGCGGGCACTGAGGAAGTGCTGAATGGACCCCTGGCTTCCGGGAGTTGGGCCCTCAGGTAGCCCCCCTCCCGGCAGAGCCCTCTTTCCTAAGTCAGGCTCCTCTGCTTCCTCCCAGGGGTGTCCCCCAGGCCTTCGCATCCACGGTGCCACCTCCCAGGCTTGCTCGGGTTTCTAGCCCCCCATCTGGCCTCCACACCTGGAACGACCCCTCCCACCCCAGGGTATGGAGAATGTGCTTTTCATTCCGAATCTCCTAAGCAGTGGGACTGTCCGCAGGGGACGCCGGGAGGGGCTGCCGGCTGAGGTGCATGTGAGGGCCTGTCTGCTCATTACACCTGCATCCTGCATGGAGACTTAGGACACTGTCACCGAGCCGAGCGGGCAGGTTCCCTGAAGGGGCTGCCAGCTGCGGGGGGTGGGGAGGCGCCTGGCAGAACACAGAAGGTGCAATAACCAGGCGCCGTGCTCTGTAGGAGCCCATGGAGGCCTGGGGTGCACGGAGGCCTGGGGTGCAGGGAGGGCTGGGTGGGCGATGTTAGGGGTGAGTCTCATGCATGGCTGGGAGCTGAGGCCTGAGGACCGACTCCCGTTCCTTCTGCGGAGGCCAGGCCACCTGGGCTCCCAGGCCGCCCTCTAGCCTGTCCAGAAAGGCCCCCCAGGGAGTGTGAGGCCAGCCGGCTGGGGGGCAGCAGGGCTTCACCTGGACAATGTCCCGCTCAGCCAGCTTCCCCCGGGAGGAGATCCGCACCTCGTCGCCGTCCAGCTCCACCATGGCTGTGGGGGAGGGGGAGGGGGCAGGCACGGAGTGGGGGCAAGTCAGGGGCCAATCCCAGGCCCATCCAGGGCAGAGACCCATGTGAGAGATGGGGAAACTGAGGCCAGGAGACAGGGGAAGCCCACCCAGTGAGTCCTAAGTTCTAGCCCAACTTCCAGCTCCCCGCTCCCAGGCTCCCAGGGTGGGAGGAGGGAGGAGTCATTGGCCTCCTCTCCACAGCCTTGGGGTGTGGGTGTGGGGCACACGCCCTGACACACAGGCCCCTGCGCAAACAAACACCTGCGCGCTGCCAGCTGACCCAGCTGGTCACACACGCCAGGTGTGAGCCTCGCTCTGTGGAACAGGGCCCCGCCCAGGGGCCTGGAGCCTCGGGGAGCATGGGGGGGGGGCGGGGGTGGTGAACTCACCATCGAACTCCGCCTGGCCCACACCGATGATGATGATGGACATGGGCAGTTTGGCAGCCTGTGAGACAGCGGGAGGTGGGGGTGTTTGGGACGCAGCCGAGGGGCCAGTTAAAAGGAGGAGGAGATCGTGTTTAGGGACAGAGCATAGATCAAAGAAGGAAGTCAGGAGGAAGACAGGGAAGAAAAGGAAGGGAGACGGATAGAGACACAGAGAAACCCAGAAAAGCAGGGGAGAGGGAGAGGGCAGCCAGGGCTACAGACCCAGGGACCCAGGTCTGCTTCTGCCAGACCCCCACCCCTCCTCTGCCTCCGGGCCTCCATCACTGGGGCCTCTTTTGTGTGGCCTGGACCTCCCAGTTCTCTACCTGGCCAGGCTGAGTTCCCAGGGCAGCTAATGAGGGAGCCAGAGGTGGCCGGAGGGAGCGGACCACCCAGCGTGGCTGAGAGGTGGGTGGGGAGCTCACCGGTGGGACCACTGGGACCGATGGCCCCAACCCCAGGGCCAGGCCCTCCAGATGCTGCAGCCAGAAGCCAGCAGGGTCCCACCCAGGGCGGGGAGCCGAGAAGCCAGGCCCAAGCGTCTCCCTAAAGGAGTGGGAAGGTGCGCCCGCGGGTTCCCGCCCCCCAGCTCACGTTGACGATCGCCTCCTTGGTCTGCGCCATGTCCGAGATGACCCCGTCGGTGATGATGAGCAGCACGGAGTACTGGGAGCCGTCCTGCACCTCGGCCGCATTCCTGGGGTGGGGCGCAGTCTGTCTGGGAGGCTCTGGGCATGTCACCCCCCCCCACACACACACACAGGGTCCCTTAACACTTTGGTGGGGACAGTTCTTTGGCTGGAGGGGTCTCTTAGGGTCAGGGCTCCCTGAAAGGCAAGGGGACAGGTGTGGAGACATGCCTGTGAGCTGCTGGGACGGGGTCTAGTGGCCGGCTCACCTGGCCACGTGGGTGACGACGGGGGCGAAGTTGGTGGGGCCGTAGAGCTGCACGGTGCGCAGGCTCTGGTGGTAGGCCTCCAGGATGCCGTCGATGCCGCAGCACGAGGGGTTGTCCTGGTTGCCGTTCTGGGGGCAGAGGATGGAGGCTGAGCCCAGAGAGGAAGGAGGGGCGGGAAGGCGGAGGGCGACAGGAGCAGCGGGCAGAGGCCAGCAGGCCTGGGCTCTCCTACACTCTTCCCTGGTGGGGGGGACAGGGGAGGAGGGCATGTGGGGGCCCACCCTGAAGGATAGCACGTGTTCCTCACGCCACTCCCTGCACCTGCTCAGAAAAGCCCCCCACCAGCCCGGCTGGAAAGTGGCTGCAGGGTCCAAGCAGCTCTGCAAGGGCTGACCCCGCTCCTTCGCCCTGTGCCCAGCACCGGGCTGGCACTTCTCGGGCTGTGAGGGGCATTTGCTGTGAGTGACCCAGGGACTGATTCGGCGTCCTCAGCTCATGGCAGGGAGGGGAGGAGGTGGCCCACATCAGCACCAGCCCAGGGAGCTCCTGGAATTCCCCGCAGCTGCCTGTACCCAACCCACACCCCCTCCTCATTTCTGGGGCCTTGGGGGAAAGTACAGCCACTGCACCCTCCACCTCCTGGTCTTGTCAGGAAAAGGAGGCCAGAGCCACTGAGGGTGGCCTCAGATGTGATGGGAGTCTTTGTGAGCAAGGTGGGGGGGGGGGTTTCTGGAGGCCCAGCGACAAGACCCCCTGCACACAGCAGGCAGCTCCCCCCAAAGGCGGCCCCTGAAGGCCCTAGGCGGGTAAGAGGGGAAGTGCCCCCACCCTGGGCTTGTCACCACTACCCCCAGGGGTCAGCCCAGCCCTTTCTCTGGGCCTCCTACCAGCGGGAACTCGTGGGACACCCTGCCGTCGGGGGGCAGCTTGGCCCCGAAGCCGAGGGCGGGGAACATCTTGTCGCTGTCGTAGTGCTGGATGATCTCCCCGACCGCGGTCAGCGCCAGCGCGTAGGCGTTCAGCTGGTAGGGGCTCATGTAGTGCAGGGACGTGGACTGCGAGGGGTTCCCTGCGACACAGGACGCGGGACACGTGCCGGCGTGCACACGCCAAGCCTCCTCGGCTTCAGAATCAGAAGGGGTGTCCGACGGCACCCCTCACTTTTGCTTATTTACCCTCGATGCCGTTCTGTCTTACTGCACATTCCATCCTGGAGCAAAGCCTGGTTGCTAAACCCTCAAAGAATATCCAAGTCCCAGGGTCCCACGGTGCCCTGGCCTGCGGGGCAGCGGCGGGCCGCCCGCGCTCAGTCCACCAGCTGGCGAGCCCTCAGTCTGTGGCCGCCGGGTGCCACCTCTTCTCTGCTCAAAGGGCTCTGAAGTTCCCATCTCACCCCGAGTTAAACCCAAATTCCTCACCAGGTCCCGCAGGACTAGCCTCCAGTTACTCTTGTCCTCGCCTCCTACACCCTCCCTGCCACTCACTCAGTCCACCTCGGGGCCTTGGCAATGGCTGCCCCCTCTGTGCTGGGACACTTTCACGGGTGTGCACGTGGCTTGCTCCCCCACCTCTTCAGGTTTCACCTTCTCAGTGTGGTCTTCCCAGCCGCCCACTTAAAGTCACAGCTTCCCCTTCCTCCCTCTCTATCCCTCTCCCTCGTTTGACGTTTCTCTATTGCCTTTACCACCACTAAATATTGTCCATATTTTACTTATTTATTAATGAGAGGCAGTAAGCACAGGCTGCAAAGGTACCAACCCCGTCTCTACCTCCTACCAGCTGTGTGATCTTGGGTGAGTTCCCTAAGCTCTCAGCCTCAGTCTCCTCATCTGTAGAATGGGGGTAACAGTGCCCCCTCCTAGGGCTGTTGTGAGGATTATGGTAACTCACCTCATTGTTATTAGCACGGAGGCCCCTCCCAGCTCTGACATCCTACCACCCTCCGTGGGGCCTGGGGTTTCTGACACACCTGTGCAGTGAGACCTGGGTATCTTCTGATTGGCACAAAAATGAGCATTGGGCACCGCTAATGGGGTCCAGACTCCAGCGAAGGTGGTGATGTTTCTAACAGCGCAAGGCCTGGCCCTGATTGCTCCTGGAGGCTCCGCCCCAGCCCGACACTGGAGACGGTCAGAGGAGGCGAGGAAGTGGGGCAGCCCCAGCACGGAGAGGACCGGGGTGCCGGGGCTGCATGCCTGCCCTCACGGAGGACCATGCGCTCAGGCCTGACTCCAGTCTCCCCTCCAGCCCGGGGGCTGCACTGCAGAGGGTGTGGGATTCGATCCTGTGAGCAAGCACCTCCTCTCCAGGGCCCAGAGCAGCTGGTCCTAGTCCCCCAGGGAGACCGGGTGCCCTCAAGGACGGTGGTTCCATCTTTGGCTCTCAGGGCCTAAGCACCTCCTCTTCAGGGAGGACGAGGCCAGAGCGTATGGAAGACCTGGCTGCCAGCGAGGGCAACCACCACAGCCCTGAGAAGCCCTCCCCCCCCACCCCCCATCCAGGCAGGGCTAGAGGGCAGGAAGCCTGGGACCACCAGCCGCTGCTGGCTGGTGTGTGGTCTTTCCATCTGGAAAGCTGGGATGTATCGCCAGCCTCCCCTCCCCCAACCCCCAAAGGGCTGCTGTGAGCATCACAAGAGCCAGGCGGAGTGAAGCTCTTTGAAGACAACAGATGCTCTGTGTGGGCAAGTGATTACGCCCAGTTATTTGCTCCCCAAACCCTGCCCCTGGGCCCCCTGAGGCCGGGAAGTAGAGTCTCACTGTGTTCAAATTTGCAGTCAGATTCAGGGTTAAAACTTATTTGACAAAAAAAGGAGACAAATAGACATTGTCCATCTCCTGAGGGAAGAACAAACACCACCCATGAAGTTGTCTTGCCCCCAATGAACCTGAATCGGACTGAGCCTCCAGAGCATCTACCAGTTGTTCACAGGAAGCACGGGGACAGAGGGCACCGCGGGGGGTGCGGCCAGCGAAGGCCAGTCCGTGGCACGTTCTGGAACACCTGCCTAGGGACCAGCAGGAGCGGATCACCTGGGGACGTGGAGGACCCTAAGTCTCCTGCAGACCCATGAATCAGAAGCTGTCTGCAGGCGTAGGAAGCTCTTAGCAAGCCCCCTCCAGGTGTAGGGGTGCGGGGGGCAGGGAACTGATAGAAGAAAAGAGAATTAAGAGACAAATCAACTAACCCCAATACAGGGGTGGGCAAAAGTTGTGAGTACATGAAACACAGTTTATTCTTATATTATTGTTATTAATTATTTTATTGTTTATTTGTATTATACCTGTAAACCTACTTTTGCCCACCCCTGTATATGGAATTTGCCTGGATTTGGGGTTCAAAGAAGTCAATTAAAAACTTTATAACTCAATTGGGGAAATCTGAACACTGACTAGATATTTAGGAACTTTCAGTTGTCAGGTGTGATTGATACTTGGTTATATTTGACAGAGAGTCCTTAAATTTCAGAGACACACCCTGAAGTACTTGGGGGAATGAACCATGTCTAGGATTTGCTTCAAAATGATTGCATGGAAGGGAGAGGGGGTGGAGCAAGATTGGCCAGGAGCTGGTAATTGTTGAATCTGGGCGAAGGGCACCTCGGGGTTCATGATACCTCCCCTGCACTTTTGCATGTGTTTGGGATTTTTCCATAATAAAAAAAGTTAGGTTTTGAGGCTTCAGATTCAGGGTTGAAATTGCTAAGGGTTTGGCTGTTCCAGGTTCTGTGCTGGGTGCTAACAGAACAAAGCTGACAAGACATGAGCCCTTGACAGAGTCTAGTCTCATGGTTCACACGCTGAATGAACACAGTCATCAAGGGAGCGTATTTAAAAGGAAGATCCCAGGGCACCTCTCCCGGGAATGCCAATCCAGTTGGTCTGAGATGGGCCCAGAATCTGCTTCTTTAATGAACACCCTCTGGCCTCATCCAGGATGCTGAGAAGTGCAAAGTTTGGCACTGACTGGGATCACACGTGGGGAAACTGTTGTGGTGGTTCCAAGTTGGGGCCAGGGATGATGTAAGATGAGACAGGGCTCACCTCACCTGCATTTAGAAGATGGTCCCTATCAGAATCACAGCCCTCTCTCCACCTAGTCACAGCTGGGCTACTGCTCATGGACCCTTTGTCCCCCAGGAAGCATGAAGGACATGGGTAGCAGGAGACCCAAGCCAGGATCTGCTGGCCAGAAACAGTTCTCCCCACACTACTTCCCCCTGGTCTGCTGCCTGGGGGCAGAGCATCTAATGGACTCTAAGCTCTGAGGGAGAAGGAGCCACAAGATGGCAAGAGCCTGGGTCCCTGAGTGACTGTGGAGCATCTCCCCAGCCATCCCTGCCACCCCAAGAATGAAACATAAGCTTTTATTTGAATAAGCCTTGAGGTTGGAGAATTATTTGTTATAGCAGTTGACCTACTCTATTCATCTGCTGCTCCTTGTCACCGCTCAGGTGGAATATAGAGGCTATGCCTTCACTGGAAGAGGGGACACATTGGGCGGGTAAGAGCCTGGCCCCCTGGGCTGCCCTTGGTAGGGTGGTTCTGGCCTGCAGGACTGCAGCTGAGGGCACGGGCAGACCTTGCTCCTTAAGCAGTTTTCCCTGCTCTGGGTTCTGAAATGATTCAGGGAATGAAGGGACTGGAACCCGGTATCGATGGGAAAGTTCCTCCCTGAGGCTCACCTCTCCTGCCTAAGGGCACAGCAGGGCAGAACGCAGGCTGCTGAACAACCAGCTCCATCTCTGACGTGGGGGCAGAGGTGCCCAATCTCTCCCCCACCCCTCCAGGTGGGCAGCGGAGGGAGGCCAGGGAGGAGAGGATCCCTAGACACATGTCGCCATCAGCTGCCTGCCCGGACACGCATGCGGGCTCTCGCCGCCTGGAGCCAGCCTCTCAGGCTCTCCAGCGAGTGCAGAGAGGCGTGGGGCGGGTGCAGGAGGGGAGGGCTAGGGCGGCTCAGTGTTCTAACTTGCCCGATACTCCAGGCGCCAGCTTTGCGCAGCAGCCGCCCATCGCTGTGGCTCAAGGAGACGTCACAGTGCCCAGCCCTTTAACTCGGCCGTCTCCACCTGCACCCACCCCACCTGCACCCACCCCACCTGGGCGCTGGAGGCAGGCAGGGAGAGTCACGACTGTGGAAGAAAGGCAGCAGTCATGACAGGAGGCACCTTGCCACTAGGCCCGCGGCCTCGGGAAAGTTATATAAAGTGAAGATCCGCTGGAGGGGGCCGATGGGGGAAAAGGGGGACATATGCAATAATTTCAACAATAAAGATAAAAAAATAAAGTTAAAAAATAAAATGAAGATCCTCGACGCCCTGCCCATTGTGCTCTGTACCTTGGGGGTATTATGCAAATGAGAAGGATAAAGAGGATAAGTAGGACTGGAAATGACCAGGTGCTGCGGAATGTACGGGGTGGCTGCTTAGTGGATGGAGAACAGAGCGGTTTTGACGAGGGAAGGGAGCAAGGGCAGGGTGGGGAGCAGGCTGGGGGGGCAGGGAGTGGGGGCAGGAGGCCTCCGGGGGACTGTGGGAGGCTGTGTGCTCAGTGGGTAAGGAGAGCTCCCACCTGAGACGGCGGTTCCAGCCCGAGGGAGCCGTGGCAGGGAGAGCGGGCGTGGCTTCCCAGGCCCTGCCTTCGCCTCTGCCCTGGAGAACCAGGCAGCCGAGTGCCCACTTGGCTGGGATGAGCCTTTGGCAGCTGCCCTACCTGTCTCCTTTCCAAACAGGTGTAGTTACTCACCTGCCTGCACCTGTGGGCTCTTGGCTACCCACACCCTGGCCTGGCACCTGTCCTTGGCAGTCGGCTCCTTTTCCATGAGCTGTTGGCTGGAGCCTCCAGGCTTCCCTGGCTGCCTTGGCCCGGACCCTGACACCTCTGGCTCTTCCTGCTCCTTAAATTCGTGTTTGACCAACTGCTGGTCCTGGGACTACTCCCCGGCCCATCCCCCACTCTCTCTCCTGCCCCTTATATGTCCCCCATGACACCAGGCAGGTTCATCGCTGCCACACAGACACACCAGGGGTATCAGAAGCTCAGAGCAGGAAGGAATCTTAGAATTTACCAAACTCCAACCTCTTGTGTTCCCAGGAGGAAACCGATTCCCTGGGAGGGACAGTGACCTGCCCAAGGAATCCAGCAAATTCAGGGCGAAGGGGGTTGGAGCCTGGGCCTCATGACTCCTCGTCCAGGGCTCTTTCCACCTCCCCAAGCCCTTGGGACTCTGGCATGGAGTCCCCACCACCTCCGGGCTCATCTGGGCACAGGGACCAGGCCTGCCCGGCTGGCTGCATGGCCCAGGAACGCCCTTTGCAGCCAGCCAGCCTCCAGGGCAGGCAGAGCTCCAGGAAGGCAGCCTGGAGCCCAGGATCACAGACTCCAGCCAGGGCCTCGCCGAGGCCAGGGTGGGGCCAGAGCTGCTCCTGCCCTTGTTTGAGGCCCCTTCCCTCTCCCCGAGGCCACGGAAATGGGGCTGCACGTCTTCTCACCCTCCTTTGATGTAGTCGAGAAATGTGCACTCTGACTCCACGGCAAAGGACAGCAGCGTGACCTTGAAAACAAAAGGGAGCTGGTTGGCGGCGGGAGCCTCAGCATGTGCCATGAGCATATATCGCTGCAATCGGGGCTCAAGCAGCCCCAGGAAGAGCTGTCATTATCCCCTTTATCCCCAAGGAAACTGAGGCTCAACAAGGTGATGCAATGTGCCCAAGGACGCTGTCCGCACGTGGCCAGGTGAGATGGGAACCAGGTCTGTCTGAGCTTGCCCTCTTGACCTCAGTGCCACACTGCAGACCCCGTGTGGAGCGGAGCGTGGAGGGCAAGGGTCTTCCTGACACAGTCCTAACACCCGCCAGGCTGGCCAGCCCCACGCTTCCAACGCCCGGTACTAGTCATCCTCAAACGTGCCTCTCTGGTCCACACTTATCTTCAGCCTTACCTGTCCCCTCCCTTTGGCGTCTCTCCATCTCTACCCTCAGACCCGAGACCCTCGTAAGCAGCCTGTCCCTCCCGGGGGTGGGGGAGGACTGGCCACCCAGGACCCCCTCTCCCAAGCAGAGGCCTCTTGATCTACGCCCTCTGGCGGCTTTGGCATCAGCTTCGCCGAGACAGGCAGCCACTGGCAGCGGGTCATGACGATGACTTGGGATCTGGGAGAACAGTGAAAGCCTGGCAGCTGAAACCCATTAAATGAGGCCGGCGGGGGAGGGGCCACTTCCCTGCATCCTCCGCTCTAGGATTTGGGGAGCTCCCTGCTCGTGTACATTCAGCCATCTTCATCGACTCACTAGGTGGGCCCGTAGGGCCTCTGCTTGACAAAGCTGATGAGCCATTCGCCCCCAAAATGAGAGGGTCTGCGAATGCTGAGCTGGGCCTCAGAGACCCCCACCCACGGTGATTACAGCCTGAGGCACCTGGGCAAAGCCTCCTTTCACGAGGAATGGACTATGGCAGTGGCCTCTATGCTGACAATTAGGAGACCCCTTGGGGAGCTTTTAAAACATCTTGCAGCCGGGGGAGGCCCTCACACCAATGCCATCAGGGTTTCTGGGGCAGGGCTCTGGCCCTGGATCTTACTTTAGCTCAGTGGTTCTCAACCTTCTGGCCCTTTAAATACAGTTCCTCATGTTGTGACCCAACCATAAAATTATTTTCGTTGCTACTTCATAACTGTAATGTTGCTACTGTTATGAATCGTAATGTAAATATCTGATATGCAGGATGGTCTTAGGCGACCCCTGTGAAAGGGTCGTTCGACCGCCAAAGGGGTCGCGACCCACAGGCTGAGAACCGCTGCTTAGCTCCTCACAAGAGTCTAACCTGCAGCCAGAGCTGAACATCCAGGCCCAGGGATGAAGTAATTCCCTAACTTGCCTGCCCGTGGATTCACCCAGAGACTTGCTACTCAGAGTGTGGTCCCTGGACCAGCATGGTCAGAATCACCGAGTTGCTAGTGAAAAATGCAGAAATGGCCCTAGCTAGTTTGACTCAGTGGATAGAATGTCAGCCTGTGGACTGAAGGGTCCCAGGTTTGATTCCGGTCAAGGGCACACATGCCTGGGTTACAGGCTTGATCCCCAGTAGAGGGCATGCAGGAGGCAGCTGATCAATGATTCTCTCTCATCATTGATGTTTCTATCTCTCTCCCTCTCCCTTCCTCTCTGAAATCAATTATATATACACACACATGGCAGAAATGCAGCTTCTTGGCATTTTAACAAGATCCCAGGAGATTCTGCTCATGCTAAGTGAGGTCTGAGAAGCACTAAGCACAGACGGCTGGGCCCAGCCTGGAGCCCAGGGAACTTGCCTGAGCATCTGCATTTTAGAAGCAGACTGGGTGGTTCTTTTTAAGATGGAGACTGGGAAATGCTGCAGCAAAGGGAAGTCAGGAGAGCTGGGCCCAGCCCTGCGCTGCCCTCACTCACCGTGTGACCTAACACAGCACGTCCCCTCTCTGAGCCTCAGTTTCTTTACCTCTAAGTAAGGAAGCTGGACGAGGTCAGTGGTTGTCAAACCTTTTTAACACTGTACACCCAGTATTTCTCAGCTGCCTCCCAGAGAGGCACCTGGGAACGTGGGAGAATTCTGGGGGCCTCGCAATGACTGGGGCTCCGTCGGCAGCTATGGGCTGAGGCCTGGGGTGCACCCCACAATGTAGGGGAAGTCCTGTGAGACGAAGAATGGTCCCGCCTAAAACACCGACAGCACCCCACTAAGAAACCCTGCGGCTTTGGGCGAAGGAAATTCAGGGTGGGGCAGAAGCAGGTTTACAGTCGAGAGCGTGAGAAACAGTTGATTCTTGTACTGTTTATTTATTACTTATTCTATTGTTTTCCAAATGAACAATTGTAAACCTACTTTTGCCCCACCCTGTATTACTCCACGCCTGTCTGTGAAACAGTTACAATCAGAGAAGCCGGGGGTCGCCCCCTGTGGATAAGCAAACCACTGTGCCGTTTTTTAGGCCTGCATCTCCCCTGTGTCTGTCATTGCCACGCTGTGCAATAAACAGAGTATGAATGACTTATCATCCCCATTTTACTGATGGAGAAAATGAGGGTCCTCGGATGTCCCCCAGAACCCCTGACTAGGGCCTCTTCTGGGTTTATAGGGTTGCAGTCTGCCTGACTCAAATGACTAAGTTTCGCTGCATTCGCTGATGTATGGACCTCTGGAGTGGGGAAGGCCATGAAGGGTAGAACTTGGGCATGTTTGCCCTGCAAAGATACTGGTTTATTCTGTAAATGCATTGTGGGCTCTACCCCAGGGCCTTTGCACATGCTGATTCCTACTAGAATTCTCTTTCCCCCAAATCCTCAATACTTGCTTCCTCACCTCCTTTGAATCTCAGCTGAAATGTCACCTGAGAGAAGCTTTCCTTGACTACTTTATATTAAACTAGAGGCTGAGTGCATGAAATTCGTGCATGGGTGGGGTCCCTAGGCCTGGCCAGCGATCAGGGCCGACCTGTGGGGCAGTTGGGAGGACCCCTCTGGCACCAGCCTTGGCCAGTCTGGCACCACCCACTCGCCAGCCCTGCCCCCTGCTGCCACCAGTCACCTCCCTCTTCGGGGTGACTGGTGGGGTGATCGGGGGCCCCCGCTGGCACCCGCTTTGGCTGGCTTGAGGCCTGTGGGCTGGGGGCAGCTCCTGCACTGAGTGTCTGCCCCCTGGTGGTCAGTGCGCCTCATAGCAACTGGTCATTCTGCTGTTCAGTTGATTTGCATATTAGGCTTTTATTATATAGGAAGGAAGGAGGATAGTAGTTTTGTCGCTGGCATCCCTATCCCTTCACTTTGCTTTTCCCCACAGCACTCATAACCACCTGACACACACAGTCATATACACGTATGTATATTTACTTGTTTCTGTTTCCTCCCACTAGAATATAAATGCCAGTAGGGCAAGGACTTCCATTTGTTGATAGATGCATGAAGATCAGCCGGGCCAGAAGCCGCTGGGCCAGCGTGACCCCAGGATGGTCGCAGGCAAGCAGCGCCCGGCCCGTAGCAGCCGCAGGCTCTGAATGTAACCTGGGTGCTGACCGCCATCCCCCTTTCCAGCCCGTGACCTTCGCTGAGTCACTTCCCTGCCTGCAGCCTTGGTTTCCTCCGTCATGACAGGGGATGATAACACTGCTTCCCAAGGAAACAACCTGCGAAAAGCACCTCAATTGGGAATTTCCCGGAGTCAGGGCCCAATCACTGCGCCTCCTTTCCTCTTCCCGCCCGCAGGAAGTCCCATGGGAGTTTCTCTCTGGGCTTTCTCAGTCTGAATCACAGAGCCTGCGGTGCTACAGCCTTAAGCACGCCTTCCCCCTGGGCGGTGGCTCCGGGGCCCCACCCCTCTCCACCCCCCACTCTCCAGGTCTAGTTCCCACACCGCAGGAGCACACAAACACCCGATCAGCTATCCCGGGAGGAGGCCCCAGGCATTCAGATTGAGAGAGCCTGGCATCCAGACTTACGCAACCAGGCTCCCCGATTGGACATAGTGTCCCATAAGCAAACACACCAAGAATAATATTTACTTAACCTCCTTTCCCACTACTTCCCAACACACCCTGCACCCTATGCAGCCAGAGGAGCTCGATGTTGCAAAGGGGCCCTGCCCATGCCTGCCCTGAGCCCGCGCACGCTGTTCTCTCAGCGGGAACCCGCCCCCCACAGCCCTCCCTGCGCCTCCCTGGAGACCCAGCCTTAGGGCTCCCTGGGGCCTGTGAGCTCCCCCGCCCCCCTCCCCCCACCGGCCTCACACTGCACTTAGAACCTCCTTAACCGTTCCTCGCGTGTAAGCTTTCATTCCAAACCCAACCCGTCATCAGAGAAGATACCTCAGCCCTAGCTAGGCATACAGTAGGTGCTAAACAAACATTTCTTGGTGGGTTAACTCGATGGTCTTAACTGGGGGCCCACCCCACCCTTGGAGAGATCTGGCAACGTCTGGAAATATTTGTGGTTGTCACGACTAGGGGAGTAGGCAGAGACAAAGGAGGCTGCCAAACACCCTGCACCCCGAGGGACAGCTCCCCACGGCAAAGTCCTGAGTGTGAGATGCCAGTGGTGCGAGGCGGAGTCCTGGCTGCTGGGGCACCTGGCCTGGCAGCCTCCGGGGGCATCGCCTGCGCACCTTGGTACCTAACCTGAGCCTCGCCGGCTCTTTTGTGTTTTTTCTGTGCAAGTCTAGGCCCAGCCCTTCCCTAACCTCCGATTGAGCAAAGCAAGACGAACTCCCCACCTGCTGTCCTTCCCTCTCCCCCCTCTCCTGTCCTTCCTCCTGGGGGTCTCTTCTGCCTGGAGGATGCTGAGAGCCACTTAGAACCTCCTGAACTGTTCTTCACATGTAAGCTTGGAGACAAGGAAACTCAGGCACAGAGACACCAAGTGCTTTGCCAAAGGGCACGGAGCTGGTCTGGGTAGTGACAGAATTAGGAGCCAGGTTCCTGCCTCAGGCCCTTGGATAAGAAATGCCAACACATTCCTTCACAGATGTTTGCCAGGTGGGGTGGCATGGGGTGCCAGTTCCTCTCCTCTAGAATCTTTACTCCAGTTGGAGAAAGAAGCTATGTCCTCGGAGAGGGGACGAGGGCCACCAAGACCGGGGAGTCGGAAACGTGAAGGCGCTGTTCGAAGGAAGGACCATTCCGGCGGGAGCATCGCGGGGGCTCCCTGAGCGGGAGGCACCACAGGCAGACACGGAGGGACAGGAAGGACCTGGGCGTGGAGAGGTGGAGGGAGGCATCCCGGTCAGGAGATATTGGGGGGAAAGGAGCGTAGGACTGGGGAGCCACAGGGTGGAAGAGAGGAAAGGGGGTGGCCTGGAAGAGAACCTCCAACGCCAACTGAAATGCCGGAACACCACCCAGCAGCGAGCAGGGCCTCTGATGACCTCTGAGCTGATGGGGGACGAGGTCACAGCAGGCTCTGGGATGCCGGGGCCTGGTGGAGGTGAGTACAAGGGGAGGAGGAAGGACACCCAGGGGGGTGTCTACAGATGTTTCCTCATCTGCAAAATGGGAATAAAAGGCAGCTACCTCATGGAGAGATGTAGGGACTAAATGGGTCCATGCAAGTTGGGTGCTCAGGACAGGGTCTGGAATGCAGTGGGTACTGTGGGCGTGAAGGCTGCTATTACGTTTTGTTACTTCTACTTACTACCCCCACCCCCAGGCCAGGTGACTGGTCGGAGGGCTTCTGGGTGTTGGACCAGGTAATGAGCTATGGCAAAAGAGCGCCATCAAGAAGTGACCACAGGTCTTGGGCCCCGGGCATGGCTGTGGGGGAAGGAGAGAGGGAGGGGTCAGGCCCCCAGGAAGACACAGAAGGAAGAGCTGGATTTGGGGCGCAGGAGGGACGTTCAGGTGGGAGGGCCAGCAGGCTGTGCAGGCGGCAAGTGCGAGTCAGGGAGCGAAGCCCAGGGCGACCCCAATCCTCCCGGCAGGAAAGCCGGGTGGTGGCACGGCACTCAGCGTCTTGGGAAGCAGCCTCAGTGTGGAGATGAGGGCACAGCCGCAGCTCCAATGCTGCCCCGTGCCTCAGTTTCCCCATCCCGGGCATGGCTGTGGGGGAAGGAGAGAGGGAGGGGTCGGGCCCCCAGGAAGACACAGAAGGAAGAGCTGGATCAGGTGGCAAGTGCGAGTCAGGGAGTGAAGCCCAGGGCGACCCCAATCCTCCCGGCAGGAAAGCCGGGTGGTGGCACGGCGCTCAGCGTCTTGGGAAGCAGCCTCAGTGTGGAGATGAGGGCGCAGCCGCAGCTCCAATGCTGCCCCGTGTAGGAGGGTGTTGTGGAAGTTTGAGAACTGAGTGCATCTCAAGCTTTTACTCCAACGTAGCCCTCCCAGCTGAAGAGCAGGCATGGACTCCTGGGGATCTGGGCGTCACCCCGAGATCAGGCCACAAGCACATTTCTTTGAAGTCTTCTGTGTTGTCTTTAAATTAGCCACTATTCCACATTTCCACTCTCTAATTATAACTGTTTTAATATTAAAGCAACGTTTTGTTCTCAGATCTTCCTGCGAAGTGGCCCTGAAGAGACGCCCTGTTTATCCTGAGGTTTCGTGCACTCCCCACCCATGTACCAGCCTCGCCCGCCCTCAGGTTCCATGAGGGGGACCATCGCCCCCTAGCGGTCAGGCCAGGAACCTCCCAACCCCTGGGCTGGAGTTCTAAGCCTTATTCTTTTCCCTCTCTTCACACCCCAAGTCCCCAGGGCCTCCAGCGCCCATCTGGGGTCTGCCCTCCTGTACCAGGGGTTAGGGAGTGGCTCCCAGGAGCCAGGAGCTGCTCTGGCTCTGGGGAGACGACACTGAGACACCGCCCGCACCCAGAGGCAGCCCCTGCGTGAATGAAGCCACGAGGCTGAGCCAGCAAGCAGGGCCAGAGAGCCTCCGATGGCCCAGTGGGCTCAAAGCGGGTGGGCAGAGGGAAGGGCTGGGGCGAGACCCTAGGGGCCTCGTGGGGGTGACATGTGCGCCCACAGATTGCAAGTTGCTGCATCAGGGCACTGTGTGGAGGAGCTGGGACTTCGCCCCATAGGTCCAGCCCTGTAGGGCCTCGGCTGGGGTGGGCGTCTTTCCGAATCTCCTCCCGTCCCCAGCACCAGTGAACCAGGCTGCGGTGGTGGGTGGTGGGTGGGACTTACAACCAGGTTTAAAGCGGCAGCGATGTGGTCAGGTGACCATGTTGGAGGAGCACTCAGGTTACTGAATGGATGGAAGGAGGCGGGAAGGCTGTTAGGGACCTCCCGTCCCCAGCACCAGTGAACCAGGCTGCGGTGGGACTTACAACCAGGTTTAAAGCGGCCGCGATGTGGTCAGGTGACCATGTTGGAGGAGTACTCAGGTTACTGAATGGACAGAAGGAGGCGGGAAGGCTGTTAGGGGCCGTTGCAAAACCTACTCAGGGGAGATGGCAGTGGGGTGGACGGGAAGACGGGAACAAATGTCAGCATATTTCGCTGGTTGGAAGTAGGGTGCAGCCATGGATGGTGAGGGGCCACAGTCGTCAAGGGGGCTCCAGGCGCTGTGGCCCCCGTGGTGGCGGCACAGGCTGGCCAGGGGAGGGAGGGCTGCGGGGAGACTGTGGCCGATGCGTTCGGTTTGGGAAGGCCGAGTCCGCAGAGCGGCCCGCAGACAGCTGGACGTACAAGTCGGACCGGGTCACGCTGGGGCCCCAGACGACGGTCCCTCCCGAGGAGGCCTGTGCTGTCTTCAGGCCTCCCAGTGACACCCCGCAGTGCAAGGACCCTCCGCGGCCGCCTGAGGCCATTCCTTTCTGCCTGACGGCCTTTCAGCGTGAACAGCGCCCTGCTTCCCAGCGCTCAGTTCCTCGGTCGATGACAAGGGAGCAGGATCCACGACCAAGAAAACAAGTCACCCAACCTTTCTGCTAACTGGGAGCTGGTGCCTCTTCTGTCTGTCAAGCTCCCTTAGAAGCCAGACTCCCACTGATATGTCCCCTCCCCTAACCTCCCCTTCCCTAAAAATCTCCCTAAAGGAGGCCAGAGAGAGATGAAGCCTGCTTCTCTGTCGGGGTGGGAGATGGGCAGAGAACAAAGCCTTCCCTGTGGAGAATTCAAAGGAATCCCCCGCCCCCCACTCCATCTTCACAATGGCCTTGTTCAACTGAAGCCAGTGTGTGGATGTCTAAGAAGCACCTACTGTGTGCCCAGCAGTGGCCAGATGACCGTGAAGAGAGGCAGCCAAGAGGGCTATCACCTGCCCTTGGGGGGCTTCGGTGCAGTTGGAACAGAGATGCAGGGGGAGGGGGAGGATGGAGGGCTCAGATTCGGTGACGGGAGTCGAAGCCAGCTCTGCAGCCTCCCCAGCCGAGCGCTGCTAACGTGAGGCGAGAGCCCGCTCGTGGGGTGGTTGTGAGATGTCCATCTCCTGGCGCACAGGACGCTGGGAGACAGCGCTGACGTCATGCCTACTCGGTCGGGCCTTGTTCTGGTAGATCATTTAATTCTCCGAGGCCTTGCAGAGTGCTGCAGGAACCTGGCCAAGCTCACAGGCCCGTATGAGGCAGAGTCAGGCTACGGGCTCCAGCAGCAGCTC